GAAGAGGAAGAGCTTCAAAGTTGGGAAGAAGTTCCTACATTGCTGCGAAGCGCAATCGCGAAGGTGCATCGGCAGTACTCCCACTCTTTGTACAAAGAGAATTTCTGTCGTCACCTCAGACTTGCAGGAGCTTCAGATCGGGCAATCAAAGCAGCATCTTTGTTTTCATGCCCTACATGTGAACAAGAACGGAGAAGCCCTGCCAGACCAACCGCAGCAGTACCGAAGTACAACAGCTTCAATCAGTGCATAGCCATGGACATAGCCCACATACCTGATCAAGAAGATGTGATGCATTCCTTTCTGATCATGGCTGACATGGCCACTTCCTACACCCTTGCATCATACCTATGCTCAGGTGAAGGTCCTGGAAGACCCAAGAAGCCTCAATCTTCGCAATGCAGAAAATCCTTGATGGATTGGTTGGAAGCCCGGACAAGGTCCAGGTCGATCAGGATGGTTCCCTGAGGGGTGATTTCAGAGATCTACTGGACAGGTACGGCATTGAAGAAGTGTTGGTTGCAAGAGATGCTCATTGGTCACATGGAACGGTGGAGAGAAAGATCCTCACGGTGAAGGAGATGATGCTGCCCGTGTGGCTGTCATTCAATGCACTCAAACTATGAACAGGTTGTCAAACTTCCGAGGATTCTCACCGGCTCAATGTGTTTTGGGCTATCAACCTAACCTGCCTGAGATCATGGGTGATGGAAGAGGACTACCCATTGTGGACAATGAGGACAACTTCGCTATGTCTCAGAGGATGAAACTCTTGCAAGATTGTGAGCATGCCTTTGTGAAGGCCAATCACTCAGCCTCGCTTCGCCGTGCATTGCTTTCTCAGACCCGCCAACAGCCTGGTCCTTTCGACATGCACTCACTGGTGATGTACAAGAGAAAAGGACTCAAGCACAAGGTGTACAAGCAATGGCATGGTCCTGCAAGGGAGATTGGAAAAGACCTTCATGGGTATTGGATCATCCATAAGGGCACTCCCATTTTGGCACATCCTCACAATCTGAGAAGAGCCATTGCCGAAGAACATGAACTTATGCTTGAAGATGATGATACAATGCTGCCCAAAACCGGACAACAAGGTTTCCTTGACCTCTCAAAGGCTCAGGATCCAATCGACTTGGAGGAGGATCTTGAGAACGTGGCAGAGTATGAACCCTCCGAACCACCCGGTGCAGGTGAAACCGATCCTAAGGATGCAGAAGAGTTGGCTGCAACCTATCAAGATGAATGCACCTCAAGTGGAGATGAGTCTCGTGAAGTGCGAGAAATGAGGAGATTGGATAGAGAGGAGAAAAGAAGAAGGGAGGAGGAGACGACCTAGGCAGCTGATGAAGATGACAATGAAAAGATGAAAGGACTTCGAAGACCTAAGAAGCCAGTGGAAAGCCCAAGTAAGAAGAGGAGGAGACGAAAGAAGAAGCTGGAAGATCCTCAAAATCAACAGAATGTTGAGGAACAATCTGTTCCTCAAAGTGAAGGTCCAAGTCTTTCATCTATGGCATCACAGGATGATGAGCACAAAAGGAAGCGAGATGCACTTCTTGATGATTTCCCAGAATCCATTCGCGGCACGATCAGGAGGCGTTTGGAGGAGAGATCATTGTCAGCACCTGAAGGTGAAGAAGTTTCCATCACTCCAGAGGAGAGGGAAGCCATGTGTGTGGCCTTCTTAGCTGAGAGAGCTGACACATACACGAAGCACAACAAGCACACCGAGCTCAACCCTCAGAAGATGAAGAGTCAGCTGCAGCAGTTCTCTGAGAGAGAAATTGATGAAGCCATGCAGAAGGCAGTTGAAAAGGAGATTGGCACTTGGCAGAGATTTGATGCGATTGACATCATACTACCTGAAGAAAGCCATGAGATAAGGAAGAAAAGCCCGGAGAAGGTGATCTCTTCACGTGGAGTGTGGACCAAGAAGGACGATGAGAAGAGGGACGAGAATGAGAAGAGGATTTCAAGAGGAGTATGATGAAGCTCTTCGAAGAGATTCTCCCACGTGCTCAAATTTGCTGGTGCAAGTGATTTGCAGCCTAGCGGCTTCAAGGTTCATGAAACTCACAGCAGCAGATGTGCGTGGGGCCTTCCTACAAGGATTGAAGATTGATCGTGAGCTCTACTTCGAACCTCCCAAGAATCTTGGAAAGGCCAAGATCCCAGGTGTTGCGCCTGGATCCCTCCTAAAGCTCAAGAAGTCAATATATGGTGTGAGTGATGCAGCTCGCCAGTGGTACCACTCCATCAAAGGTATCCTTTTGCGCCTTGGTTGGGAGAGCTTGACCTTCGAGCTGGCAGGCTTTGTGTTGAGAGATCCTACAACCAAGGAGGTGATTGCCATTTTTGCATTGCATGTTGATGATGTGCTCATTGCTTGGGATGAGAAGAAATTCCCCAAAGAGTGCAAGGACATGCAGGAAAAGATGCAGAAGGAGGTGGAGTGGGGACAATGGAGAACAGATGGGACCCTCAAGTTTTGCGGCCAATCATATCATCAAGATGAAGATGGGACAATTCATGTACATGCACAAGAGTACATTGACAACATGAGCACCTATAAGGTCAGCCGTGAACGAGGGAAGGCTAACACTGCAACCTTGACCTCAAGTGAGACGAAAGCTTTTCGTGGTCTGCTTGGACAACTTCAGTGGTATGGCAGGATCATGGGCTATGCCATTGGATTTCAGGTCAGCAAGCTGGCAAGTGAGATCAAAGACCTCAAGATGTCAAGTCTCAAGGATGCCGCAAAGCTGGTTCGTGATGTCAAGCAGTATCACAAGGAGGAGGAGCTAGTGTTTAGACCCGGCATGTCATGGCAAGCAGACAACATAGCAGTAGTGGCAGTGCATGACGCTTCGTTCAACAACCTTCCGGGTCACAAGAGTCAAAAGGGGTATTGGCTAGGCATTTCCACACCAGAGCTGATGAAGGACAAGACTTCCTTGCACCACATTCATTTTGTGCATTGGACCTCATCGAAGATTCAGCGTGTGGTGAGATCAACTCTCAGTGCAGAAGCCTATTCATGCTCAGAGGCATTAGATGCTCTCAGTTGGCTCCGTGCGACCATCCTGGAGGTGTTACATGGGGAGCTGGACATGCGCCACTACAAGGACCACCTGCATCGAGTGCCAGGAGTCACTGTGACGGACTGTCGGTCGCTCCATGATTGCATGAAGTCTGAGAGGGTACTTCTTTCAGACAGGCGACTTTCCTTGGAGGCAGCAATCATCCGACAGAGTCTACAGGAAGGCATTGAGTGCAGATGGGTTCCCTCAGAGCAGCAGTTGGCTGATGCCTTGACGAAGGCATTGCACAGAAAAGGACTTGCATGTTTGAATGATGTGCTCTACTCCAACAAGTGGACACTCGGTCCTGATCCTCGATTGCCGGAGACTTCAAGGAGCAGAAAATTGGAGATCCCCGAGACAAAGCCCAAGGAGGACAAGATTCATGACCATGATGAGGCAGAGAAGATCAACAAGATGCCCATTGAGATTGAAGAGGAAGACAGCCCCAACACTACCGCCTCAGCAACCTCTACATCCATTGACACAGGTGTGTGTGCGAAGTCAGTTCTGATGTTATCGATTGCACAGCAGTTCCGACCGGTGAAGGCAGAGCAGGACGTGAGGACGATTCTGTTGTGGCCATCCTGGGAGTTGATGTTTGCGTGCTTGAGCATTGTTCTGACAGCAACTCTTTGGTACAACACGACACACTACACCAGGCTGTTCCAGTGGTATGAGGACCTAGCATTGTACAAGCAAGGCGCTCTTGTTGCAACAACAACAATGCTGATGGTTGTCATTGGAATGCAGGGAGGTTTTCACAGAATTCAGAATGTTTGACATTAATGTTGGGAGCAATGATGGTGGCGATGATCATGATTGTGAAGCGGATTGATGAAAAGGCAACAACAACCTTTCATGTCATTGGTCAGGAAAGGAGAAGGACGCGGGAACTGATCGATGGTGGCATGCGGCAGTTGTTCAATGAAACGAGCATCATGCTCACAGGCATGGACAACATGAAGGGAGCAATCAATGAAGACTTCAAGAAAATGTCACAGTTCATTGGAGATAGCAACAGGATCACGTATCAGAAGATGGAAGACATCTCAGAAGAGCACAACTACAGGATCACCAAAGTCATTGACAGGCTGATTCGCATCGAGTATAAACAGGAGAGACAAGAAGTCAGAGCTTTGGACTTGGAGAAGAGACTGAAGCAAAAGAAGAGGCACCGAACGCCATCAATGAGTTTGGAGGCCAAGAGAGAGAGAGAGAGATCTTACAGAAGCGACAAGATAGGAGAGAAGCACCCGGCACGCCCACGGAATCTGAGGTGATGAGCATGCTGGACACTCCGGAACCACCGGAGCTCTATCAAGGTGAAGGTGATGGTCGCTTAGCACCATATGATGGTGGTGAGATGATTGAAGAAGATGTTGAACCAGAGACATCCGCGGCAGAGGAGAACGGTGGCATCACACAGGAGCTGTGAGATAAGTCAACAGCAAAGGAGCGGAAGTACTTCTTGCTGATGATGACCTTTGAAGCAGAGCAATAGGCAGACATCGGACAACAAATGAGAACCCTGGCAGGTGAAATCAATGATGATGCAGTGGCAAGAATGTCAGGGGCGAGCAGCTCACATCACGATGCAGGTGACAGCAGCGGATGGACAAGCATCACAGAATGTCGAGGAATGTGAAGACAACAAAGCATGAAAGCATATGATACTTGTCCAACCCTTGCGATCACAGCACGATGGTTCACATCAGGTTCACTTGCTGGACCTTTGTGGTTCAAACCTAGGCCTTGAGCCTGTTCGTTCGCGCTGGCTGAAAAGCGAGCGTGACCAGGTTCGTTTTGCACTTGACAATATATATATATATATATGTACAACTGAGCCTTCAATATCTACAACTGAGCCTTCAATTCACTTCCAAAACGTTGCTCATGCATCTTGTTCATTCCAGCCTCGATCTTCTGACCCACCGCGTGTAACCCGAAAATTGGATACCTTTGCCAGGCGGATCTATTGTTCCCCATTTCAGTCCAGGTTTGGAAAAACTCAGGTTTGGACAGGACGGGCATCCGTTCCAGCGCATCTTGCGTGAGAGCACAAGAGCCGATCGACCTGAAATCTCCATGAACAGCCCTCAAGGGGCAGGCTGTTGCATATTGGGCCCCCAGCGCTCTGTTCACAAAGAAATGCGTCAGCCGTGTCTGAATATCATGACGCACACCTCATCAAATGCCCCAAATCAGCTCATCGGCCAATCACACGTGTCTATGTCTCGCACCTATGGTCATGCCCTCGACAAATTTGATCCTCAGAGTTTGCAAGTGTCAGTGGAACAATCAGATGGACCACTTGAGCTGTCCGAGACCTTGGCTTCTCTTGGCAGTTGTTTGCATCAAGTGCATCGCCAATCAATCCCACGTTGCTGTTGTACCTCAGCAAGTGCATTGATTCCAACAGTAATTACTGGAAACGCTTGCCAACGGGCAAACTGGAAGGCACTCCTTATTTCAGGAATCTTTTGCCAACCTATACACTCACTACCTCCACCGGTAGAGCGGCAGAAACTCCATGGTGAGTATTTTTGGGAAACAATGTTGAGAACGAGACAGGATCATTGGATTTTACTGTATAGGGAGACGGAAAGGCAACTGAACGGCTCTAAAACCACAACGTTGGATGACGGTGTCAAGTCCTCTGCTTATGCGCATGAAGTAGGAACCCATCCAGGACATATTGATAACAAACTGCTGACCCGTAGCTTGTTCCGCGGTTTGACGTATCACAGCATGCGCATGCGTACGCCAAAGACACCTCCACAGTCTCGGCCCTCATCTTGTGTTGCGAGTGCTTTCATAACGAAACTCTTTGCAGCTTGCGAATTATCGCACATGTCACATGTCTGTAGCAAGTTGTTCTGAAAAATGCACTCATGCCGATACAACCTTGTGCCGAACAGGCTTTGATCATGCGAAGCGTTGGTTTGCATACGTGCTGACACGGCACAACTGTTAGTGAACTAAAGGTGCACACAAGCTCACTTTCAGCTGGCAGCTGGCTCAAGAGAAATCCAGCACTCAAGGCAAGGATTCAGCAATTTCTTCCGCCTTCTGCTTGATAGAGTATTCAGTACACAGCATAAACTTAGAGTTAACCTGAGTCAACCAACAATGTCTTTCAAAAGAGTGTGTGTGTGTGCCCCTTGTAGTCACAGGGGTTCTTTTTGAATTGCTTTTAGCAGGGGGGCAACGGCCAGTCTTCTTACGTTGCCCAACGAAGCTACAGAAGACTGGTGGAAGCATTCAGGGACGCCTGAATGTGTACCTGCTTGAATTTTAACATTTGCTGAGTTGAGTTTTGCATTCCGCAGACTTGCACGTCACGCCGTCCTCTGTCGTTTCGATTTCGACTTGAGCCTTTGGCCCCTTCTCCTTTTGAAGACCTCCAGGATCCGGTGGTTCTTGCTTGTACTCTTAGGAAATGGTGCCCTAGGCCGGCGTGTGGCACCGCTGTCAGTCCGTACGCATATCCATAAGTGTGTCTCTCCCAGTGAGATCCCCTGCCCGGATACAGAGCAGCTCGCAGCGAGCGTAGGTGGCCTAGGCCGAGAGAACTCAGATTTTTGTCCAAATTGGGAATTCCAAGTTGGCTCATGCCTTTACGTGACCGCAGCGGTCAAAGCAGACAGCCATTTTGGCAAGGCACAAGGTGACCACAGCGGTCAAAGTACTTTTGAGGTTCGTTGGAACCTGTCGAGACCTTGGGTGCACATATCGCGTGTACTTTTAAACGAGGCAGGTTTTCCTAGGTCGTTGTAATCTCATCCCTTTCCTTCTTTTGCGCGCACACTGCCCGGCCCTTAGTTTGTACATGCACAACCTACTTTCAAATCAGGTTTCAGGTCGCCCAGGTTTTTACAATGAGGTGGGTTGTCATCGGCTGTTCCTGCGCACTTGGTTCCTTTTCAGTGCAACCGCACACACTCTTGTCCCGTCTTGTCCTCTTCATGTCTTCATTCTTTTGTCTTACTGCGCGCACACTCACACTTTTGCCTTGACCTTAGTGCTTCTCGCCTCCCCTCGGGGAGGCGTGTGTGTGTGTGCCCCTTGTAGTCACAGGGGTTCTTTTTGAGTTGCTTTTAGCAGGGGGGCAACGGCCAGTCTTCTTACGTTGCCCAACGAAGCTACAGAAGACTGGTGGAAGCATTCAGGGACGCCTGAATGTGTACCTGCTTGAATTTTAACATTTGCTGAGTTGAGTTTTGCATTCCGCAGACTTGCACGTCACGCCGTCATCTGTCGTTTCGATTTCGACTTGAGCCTTTGGCCCCTTCTCCTTTTGAAGACCTCCAGGATCCGGTGGTTCTTACTTGTACTCTTAGGAAATGGTGCCCTAGGCCGGCGTGTGGCACCGCTGTCAGTCCGTACGCATATCCATAAGTGTGTGTGTTCAAGCAAATGACAGGATGCAAAGCAGTGGTGATGATAATCTTTGCGTGCTCAACAAAAACCTTCATCCTTTTTGAAAGCAGTTCAGTTTATTGATTTGTCCTTTCCGAAACCAAGTTCACACGCACAGATCTTGCCACCTAACCATTTTAGGGCAACGCTTGCCCCAGCTTCTCTGAGGTGTGAACACAAATGCATCTTTGATGCGGATAGTGTGTACCTGCATGAAAACAAGTTCCGAAGGCTGGCTTTATGCGTGCGCTTCACCCATGTCCAAGTCAGCTGAGTTCACTGCCTCAGAACCTGTCGGTATATGTCCGCAAAGACCTAAACAGATTCTGTCAGTGTTCCTCAGCTGAAACAGGCTCAAACGCAATCACACGTCACTGTAGCCAAGGCCAAAGCGGGTCAGGATTTTTGAGGATTCTGATCTCAAAGTAGGAGTTTCCTGATCTCTAGGATGCCCCAAAGTGAAGGACCACAAATTCTTCAAACGCCAACATTAAGAACGGTTGGTCAAGTGTGTCGATTATAAATGGTGTGTGTGTGTGTGTTGCCCATCTGGGCAAGGCCTGACATCTTTATGGGATGCTCAGCCGAGATGATCTGCCAACCCATATGCGTGGCCTTAGCTTTGCAAATGCCTTTGAAAAGAACATCAAACAACCACCCTCCAAGCCTCCACAATGTCTCCACTCCTGAGTTGGTCACGAGTCACAAAGTATGAATAACTAAACACAACAGCTCGTGAAGTGCATCAAAACTAATCCCAGCGGCAGCTTCAGCGAGGTCGAGTGAGCTGACCGCAAACAGTTGCCAACTCAGTGTTGACAAAGCGCATTTCAAGCTTATCAGCCAGAAAGTTGAGCACACACAACGTCTGCGGCGGCCTAAGCCCCTAAGCACTTGACACACGAACTGGCGCAGGCTCAAGGCTTCTGCCAGCAAGTCCTGAGTACTAAGGGCTCCAAAAAGAACACGGCTTCAGCTTGTCAGGCCCTGACCATGTTCAGCTTTTGCAATTCAGGCCTTGGAGGCAGGTAGCAAGTGAAGTCAATCTCTCAAGAGCCAGATCCTGAAGGCATTCAGTTGTCTAAGCAACAGGCACCCTTGGTACCTTTGCTTCGGGATTTTCCTGATGTGACACTCGCATTCGCTAGCTTTCATAATGAGGACCATTCTTGCTCAATTGAGCTGGATTCAAATGTATTCGGCAGGAACGAGGGAGCAAGGCGTTGCAAGCAGAGAAACAAACCAAGTACAGTTGACATTGCGGACTTGGCAAGGAGGAAAGAGGTCCTGAAAACTTTGCACTTTGTGAATTTGTTTGCAAGACAGACCTGTCACAGGACAGCGCCTGTAGCAAAGCCCAAAAATCACCTTGCAAGCTTCAGGACAGGTATCCTCCTGTCCGGCCTCCAACTTCAAGAGCCAGTCCACAATGATGCCGAAACACTCAGGATTGAAGTCCAGAAAGTATCGCCCCTACCAACAAAAATACTAAAAGTCAACAGCAGCCATATAATGTAAAGCCTGTGAGTGTTCAAAGCCAATCAATTCAATCAATTGTTTGCGCAGGAAATGTGCTTGTTATGATCTCCATGTCGTTTCAAGGCAGCTCCTCTGAATCGCGCGGCACGCTCTGAATGTAAGCATCACTGAACATGTGGTTCAAATAGCTTCCTCGCACAAGAATGGACTGTGGGTCATGCAACATCTGCTAAAAATGCTCTGTTTGGCCTTCAATGAAGCAAAGTGCTCGCTTAGGCAGTTGGTAGATCTCTCCCGAGCAGTTGATATCCAAGACCTGAAGTTGTAACTTGTGTGAGATGTACCAAGAGAGAGCACAATATCAGTCCAGCCTCTCTTGAGGATGCGGAGAGCACACTCATACGTTCCCGAAGTCGATCTAAACGCTTCCACTCGTTTTCAATCTGAGTAGCAGTATCAAATCGTTGGGTCAGTGCAAATTGAAGTGTGCATTCAAAATATGTGGCTTAAAGAATCTCAACGGTGCAACAGGAAAGAAATTGAAAGGAACTGCAAAGGAAACTGAAAATCCACTGAGCTAAGGCTGCATGCCTTCAGTCGTTCCGCTCTGCACCATTCCTCATGCTGGCTTTGTGCAATCTTTGGGGAAAACGAGTAGTCTTGAAGCCGTGCTTTTACCAAAGCGAACTACTTAGATCTTGAAACCAATTCCACAAGTGCTCTGTGCCTCTGTGTCAAGCTTCAGTCGTGCAAGGTCGTCACCAGTGACCTGCTGCTCCTGTCGAGGCAGCCATGCCACTATATCATGCCTTCACTGCTTCAGCAAATGGAGCTTGAAGGACATCGACACTTGCGGTGGCATCTCTTGTCTATTCCATTCAGCAGCGCAACACCCCAACTAGGAATGACAGAATGTGCCACGCAGGTGTTCCAGGACAGCACATGTCTGAAGAAATGTTGCATTACAACACATATGTGGGCCTCCTCTATCTGAGTCCAGGTGCTTCGCATCTTCTCTCTTTCAGCTTCGATAGCAGCGATGAGGCGCCTTGCAGCTTCCGAATTTAGGATGTGATGGAGAAATTCAATCCCTGCTTTATAGTATTGTAGACTGAATGACTGTGTAAAGCGTTAGCATGACTCCAAATCCAAACTTGAGGCCGGGGGTTGGTGACGAAAGCTAGCATGGCTTGGAAACGGGATGTGGCGAGAGGCATCGGAGAGGGCAATTCTACATTTTTGTTATGGAAGGGCTCTGGTTGCCAAATGACCTAGTGGGTAGGTCATTCCATCCCCCAGCCAATGACTTGCCAAAGCAAGAGTAACTCCAGCTAGCTGACGCTAGCTTTCGTGATCATTGCCGGAATTCTGGATGTTTTCTTTAAATGCCACCCGCTTTGAGTTTTGTTCTATGAAAAATGCTGGATTGAACTGCTCCTCATGGCGTAAAGACCAAACACAAAAATCTGCATGATGTGAAACATTTTGTGATGGACTCGGCATGCTGTTCTCTGCTCAACAAACAAGGCATACTCTAGAAATAAAACTTATATAACCAAACGTTTCACGTTGACGACAACATGTTTCTCCACTAGGAACAAGAAGCTACTAGGAACAAGTGCATCGCTTCTAGTAACAAGTGCCTTGGAAACAAGAAGCTGAAATACACAGCACCACAAATGCGCACAAGGTGGGGAGTATCTTCGTGTGAAATACTTGCGCTGACTGGTGCAAAGTATCTGCTTCACCAAGACATGAAGCAAAACGCTTTCTAGAGGCTAAAAAGGCAAGCTGTTTGTCGCTTGAAGCAACCTACGCAACACTGTTTCCTTTCTGCATAAAATATTGTGTTGGGTGCATGAAACGTGTTGTGTTGAGCTACATGAAATGTTTCCATACGAGCCTTCTTCAGGAAACTAGCGAGCATGCTCCAAAACCTGTTTTGGCCAGAACCTGTGCATGTCCAGTTAACCTCCTATGGTTCACACATCAGAACCTTGCTGGGGAATCCTCCTCTTTAGAACCTCCTGGGAAATTTCCGGACTTGCACTGCTCCGAAGTCCCGCCAGAATGGGCGTCATCGAATCTCCTCTAAACCTTCAGATTAGTGTGGCAAACGCCAAGCTCTGGCTGCCTGTACGGAACAGTGAATTTCTGAGAATTGTTCCGGCCTGAAAGAGGACTCTATAAGCGCTTCATTTTCTGTTATCTGGCCAAGGCCGTCAAGCACTATGAGTTGGCTTGCAGCAACAGTGATTCAACTAGATTACTGTACCTCATGAGTGATTCTAAGCGTGGTGGGCTGTCCCGAAGTTGCTGCGATCCTGGCTCCATGGCTGAAACTGCCTCTGACAACGGTTATTTTGTTTTTCTTGTTTAATGCAAAATACCAAGCCTGTTTTATAAAACCACATCATTCCCCTGTATAGAAAGATCTTAGCTAAAGTTACTCTCGCGTTCAAGTTGCCCCGTCTAAGTTCGCATATAATATAATAGTTTCCAGATATAGGTTCAGCTCTCATTTCATGCATTCTCATTCCAGTCCGAGCCAAAACGCCCATGGATCCTCTTGTGGAAACTGTTTCTCAAGTTCAAATTGCCTAAAAAGGAAGGCCCAGGAAGTTGTAAAGGCTGTCCAAGCTCTTGCTTCGAACTTCCTTGGCGTCTCCATTTTGAACTCCTTTCGCATCTCCTTGTTTGGAGGGCAACAGGTTTTGTGCATTAGCATGCTTGGGGAGACAAGATCCGACTACCCAGCAAAGCTTGCGCAAGTCGCTCAGCGGCTCTCTTCTTGAAGCCTTATGGGCAAGATGGCTACTAGTAACAAGGGCATTACTAATAGTAACACGAAGCTACTAGTAGCGATGCATTTGTTACTAGTAGCTTCTTGTTACTAGTATTAATGCACGTGTTGTAGTGGCGATACACTTGTTACTAGTACCTATGTTCTATGATGTTTCCTGTTTCGAGACATGTCTATTTCAACGGAGACATACAAACTTCTCACCGAGGGGTAAGCTTCTGGAAAGCTAGCGCATGCTTCTCGGCAACTTGTTCTATCTCCTAGTCGTGGCGGAGCACAATGTATAAGTAGAGAATGGATCAACAAAAAAGAGCATTACTTTCCATCGCCTCCGGACCATTTCCAGCCAGTCTTTCCACCACGTGCCCGTCCCGGAGAACCAAAAAGTATGGCACAGCATCCACACCTCAGGCTTTAAACTTATAACCAAACTACTTGATTCCAAACTAACCTTCAAAGCCAGAAGCATTGCCAAATTTGTGCAGTGGTTATGCAATGTTATTCAGCACTAAAACAATCTCAAATGAGTGCAATTGAGAGACGATAATCCCTGGCCGCATCCGGCAGGTCTGTGACATCGACCTGTGCCTCAGATTGCAACCAAAATGTCCGCCACGCCATACTTGGAGTCAGTTGTCAAAGCATCCAAAGCTGTGAGAAAGAAAGGAGCTGGCCATTTTCAAAAGAGGACCCTCGAATCTGGAGCTAATGTCCTCGAATCGTGCAGAGTGACGTGTGCATAAAGCGGCTGCAGGACTGACCAGTCCTGAAAATGTGGCATCACAGCCCTGCCTGAGGTTCCCAAATCATTAGTCAACAGCAACCAAATTTGCATGTTCGTGCAAAAAATTGAGCCCTTTGCACGGCTCGCACCAAGATGCCGTGAAGAAAACCAACACAGGAGGTGCCTCTCTCAAGGCGAAGTCACACTGGGATGCTTAGTAAAACCGGGCGTGGCTTAATCAATGGGAAGTAGGCAAAGATTGCTGGTTTGGCAGTACTTCGGATGTTTGACAACGTTTAGCCGCATTTATGGAGCATGGCTCACAAAACTGTTTCCCTTGAAATTGCTGAAAGAAGGCCATAACAAAAAGCCACCCCTCCAAATCACCGCAACCAGTCTACAATGTTTATATATATATATGTATATATACATATGGGTGGCCGCTGAGTAGGTAACCAGGCACAATTTACCTCGTCTGCATTCTACCTGCAATCAGAGTCTCCATTCTGAATGCTTCTGCATAGACAATGATCTCAAGACTATACCTAGAATCTTAAGCCCAAACCAATGATTTGGAAGCTATACTCAGAATCTCAAAACCAAAAGACACATTAAGCGAATGATGTGAAAACCATGCCCAAAATCCTGTCAAAAAAATATCCCGGCAAGAGACCCCAAACAGTGTGTGTGAGGTCTGTAAGCAGAAAGTCTAGAGATCTAGACGCATTGGGGTCCAGAGAGGTGATGGCGGTGATGAAGTGAAGGTGGGTGTGAGTGAGTGTAGGTGAGAAGGAGTGTGAGTGTGAGTGAGAGTGGGAGAGTGAGTGTGAGTGCGAGTGTGAGTGAGAGTGAGTGTGGGTGAGGGTGAGAGTGGGTGTGCGTATATGAGTGAGACTGAAGGTGGGTGAGTGAGTGTGGGTGAGGGAGTGAGAGTGAGAGTGAGAGTGAGAGTGAGAGTGAGAGTGAGAGTGAGAGTGAGAGTGAGGGTGAGGGTGAGGGTGAGAGTGAGAGTGAGAGTGAGAGTGAGAGTGAGAGTGAGAGTGAGAGTGAGAGTGAGTGTGAGTGTGAGTGTGAGTGTGAGTGTGAGTGTGAGTGTGAGCGAGCGTGTGTGAGAGTGAAGGTCGGTGCGAGTGAGTGTGAGTGAGAGTGAGTGAGTGCGAGTGTGAGTGAGAGCGAGTGAGAGTCTGCGAGCGTGAGTGTGAGGAGTGTGAGTGTGAGTGGGAGTGGGAGAGTGAGTGTGTGAGGGAGTGTGAGTGAGAGGGAGTGTGAGTGTGAGTGAGTGGGAGAGTGCGAAATCTGCACTTCGAGGGCCACGAAATTTGCACATCGAGGGTCACAGAATGCTGTGCCTGCGTCACAGAGTGCTGTGCCTGCCACGAAATCTGCAAACGACCCACATATCCAAAAGTCACGATCCACTGCTCCTGTCACGAAGTCTGAGCTCCTCGATGATCACCACCGTGTCCACAGTGCCTGCCACGAAAACTGCATTTCGAAGTAAAACAGCTCGCCTGTCACGAAAAGTCGACTTTGGAGCGCCAAAACACGAGGTTTCCCTTGCGCCTGCCACGAAAAGTGACCACCATGTACCAAAATGCGCACGGCGCCACAACGAGAGCGCAGTCGTGACAAGCGCACGCTCCAGCCACCCAGATTCTGCAAGCCTGCGCAGTCGAAGTGTGTCGAGAGGCGTGAGTGCACTGTACATGGCAGCGAATCAGCCGCACACGCCCGCGCGCTTCAGCGATCTAAGCATCAGCTGCTTTCCTACTACCGTAAGAATCCCTCAGTGCGCCCACACTGTTTGGGGAATAAACCTCAAAACACAATATTTTGGAAACCATGTTCATCCTACGAAAGGTTGCCAAGGTTGGGACTAGTTTGCGCGCATAGTTTCTAAAAAAAAGGGTTTGTTTTTGGGGGTTGCTTGGTTGGAGACCCATATCTGTTGAAACTAGTATCAGTGCGGGCGGCTGTCCTGAAGGGATTGATCAATGCCAAAAAAAAGGAGTACATAAACACAGCACATGCTCGTAAACAAGGCCTTTTGTCCAAACCAACCACCTGCAGCAGTCCAATCTCAAATCATGTTATTTGGCCTTCCGTGCGCCAAAGGTTAGAAATGATTGTTATAATCCACACGGTATATCTTCCGACCCCTAGCTGACGCCTAGGCGGGGCGGCGCCTGGGAGGTTGCAACTTCTACCTGCTTTGCCTTGCAACTTCTACCTGCTTGGGCGTCCAAAGCATCTACCTGCTCCCGGGGGGTACCTGCCCTGCGCGCGTTGCCTTCGCGCTTCTGTTCTAAAGCTCCTACCTGCTCTGCCTCCAGCCACAGCTGCCGTTAGGCCCTAAAAACACTCCAAACACCCTGTCAGGACAATGTGTTTGATCATTCTTGGTGTCGAATTAGATTAGGCAAAGCTGTGGCGGAGCAGATTGCCGGGATTGAGTCTTTGGAGCTACCGCTAGGCCGCTAGGCACCCTGTCCAAGGCGTCAAACCCTCCAAACCCACTGCGGCAGTCCTTCACAAGCTCTTTTTTGAAATTGCCATTAGGCACCCTGCCACACTGCCCCGTTGAAACCTCCAGGGCCAGGGTGTTTCGCCCCTGGCGTTCATGTGGTCCTTGCAGCCTCCGGAGCATGCCTGGCGCTTGTCCGGGACTCATCTTTCTATGGGGCTCCGAAGGCGACGTTAGACAGCGGCAGTGGTCGGGGTGCTTCGCCCTGGCGAGATCGAGGTTTTGGCCTGGTCCTTGCAGCCTCCAGCACACGCCTGCAGCTACCTGGTGAGAGTGGCAGCGGTTGCTCTCTGCTTTGTTGAAACCTCCAGGGCCAGGGTGCGAGGTTTTGGCGTGGTCCTTGCAGCCTCCGAACCACACAAGGGCTTGTCCGGAGCTCCTCTTTCTATGATCAACAGGGGTTGGCGGCGGCCCCAGCGCGTTAGCCCTTTCTATCCGGCGACGCCGTCCGGTGACCATAACAAGCCAATGTGCTCCATCGCCGCCGACCCGCATTTCGAGCATCACCAGAACCATGTGGCTTCGTCGCAAAACATCAAAAACAATGGAAAATGATCAAAAATTGCAACTGTAAAGCTTATAACTTCAAAACCTCTAGAAAATCCGCCCGGCTTCTTGATGTTTCTTAAACGATAAAAGTTGATGCGTTCGCGACGCCGGTTGCGCCGCCCGGTGGAGACTGCATCATTGACATCGTGGGTGCGTTCGTCCGTGTGTCCTGCCCGACCGAGACAGACAGACTGACAGACCGAGTCAGACAGACGCACACACACACCGCGCGCGCAGCTTCGAGCGCGAAGCGTTGTGAGTGAAGCGTTGAAAATGGAGACACGTTTTGAGGACAAATTTTGGTCGAGCATCATTAGGACACTGTAGATTACAGTGTTTGCAAGATGTATGTAGTTTATGAAAAATGCTGCTCGTACTCTGGTGATGCCAATAGTGCTCGACAGAACTGCTACCTCAAAACTTCCTCTACTTAGCATACTTTCTTCTCTAGAGATAAAGCTCTTTTTATGCTTTTAAAAATTACATACGTCCTGGTGATGTTCAGAATGTCGGCTTGCGGCCGACATTTCCAGCACCACCTGGGCTTATATGGCTTCTTCACGCATCAAGACTTGGTAGTGGAAAGTGCTGAAAGAAACTGTATGTTTAATTGCCCTAGCCTCAAGCTCTCTGTGTTTACAGGGTTCGCAGACCCAAAGGTGGCTCCAACTTCGCCCATTGAGTGCGCCCGCGCCCGCGCCCCCGTACGCGCGTGTGTGTGTGTGTGTGTGTGCGTGCATGTGTGCGTGTGTGTGTGTGTGCGTGTGCCCCTTGGAATCAAAGGGATCCTGTCGGATTGTTTTTTCTCTTTTAATGGCAGGGGGCCACAGACCTGCCACTGCCACTGTGGCCAATGAAGACCGGCAGTGGCAGGCGCGCAGACGTACGCGCCGCAGTGGCCCTGGACGGCAAACCCCTTCAGTGGGGGCCGTAGCTGGGCACTGCAGTGACAGTCCCTGGGGTCTGCGCGGACAGTCCATGGGCGCTGCCGTGCACAGCTTGGATGTCCATCTTCTTCCTTTTCATCTTCCTTTTCATCTTCCTTTCCTTTCCTGTTCCTTTCGGGACGGGTCTTGTTTGTTTTCTAGGCTTCTCGCAAACACTCAGGCGAGGCCTTCCTTTTCTGCTGCAAAGCTGAAG